ATTCCCAAACAGCCCTGACATCAGCCAGAACATTTGGACTTTTCGGTGACCAGCAAGGGCCAAATTCTGCTCTCCCTTCCACCAGTGTAAATCCACAACAAAGGCAGCTGAGCTGCTCTGGATTGACACCCAGGATCCAGCCCAGGCGGTCAGAACGGAACGGAGCTGCGGGATTTCTGTAAGCAGCGCAGCCGAGCACCAGCCGAGCACCCGTAATGCAGACCAGATGGGGCTGCCTTCCCCCCTCACACTGAAATTGTTAGGCTTCGTTTCTGTTTTGATACGGGAACCCTCTGACCCGGCCTCAGCGAGCTCAGGAAACAGGGCTGGTTCCGTGGCTAATTTCCCAGAGGGGCCACTCGCTGCTTTGGAGAGACACTTTCCCTGCAGCCGCAGGGGGCTCTGAAAGCTCTCGCCTTTCAAAAACACACACACGCACACAGACATGCACACGCACACACACACACACACACAGACACACACACGCACGCATACACAGACACACATGCACACACACACACACACACAGTCAAATGATTCCTAGCCACCACGCTGCCTACCCAGGTCGCAGGTCCCAATTCCGCCTGGTACTTCAGCACGAGCAGCCCTTTGGATTTCACAGGGACTACACATGTTTACAGTTACACACGTGCTAAAATATCTGACTGAACTGGGCCCAGACTTGGCCTGTTGAGCTCCACATAATCTTATCAGGACCTCCATCATCCCCTTTCCCCATGTGTTGGTTAGACTCCATTGCTGTGTCTGGCCTTTGACTCTTCAGGGCAGGGAGTGAGCCTACCTCTGTGTCTGTACAGTGCCTAGCACACATAAGAACATAAGAACGGCCGTACTGGGTCAGACCAAAGGTCCATCTAGCCCAGTATCCTGTCTGCCAACAGTGGCCAATGCCAGGTGCCCCAGAGGGAGTGAACCTAACAGGTAATGATCAAGTGATCTCTCTCCTGCCATCCATCTCCATCCTCTGACAAACAGAGGCTAGGGACACCATTCCTTACCCATCCTGGCTAATAGCCATTAATGGACTTAACCTCCATGAATTTATCCAGTTCTCTTTTAAACCCTGTTATAGTCCTAGCCTTCACAACCTCCTCAGGCAAGGAGTTCCACAAGTTGACTGTGCGCTGTGTGAAGAAGAACTTCCTTGTATTTGTTTTAAACCTGCTGCCTATTAAGACCTGGGTCTTGATCTCAGCTGGGGGCTGTGGGTGCTAAAACCAGTGAAACTAATGACACATCTCCCATCACCAGAGCTCAGAGTCAGTCGGGGTGATTCTATCTCTAGCAGGTCCCGCGCACTGTCGGGTGTAACATCCAGAATTAGCATCGCTTATGATTTGTCTGGAGCTGGCAGTTCATAGATTATAGAGAACAAAACCAGAAGGGATCATTGTGATCATCTAGTCTGATCTCCTGTCTAGCACAGGCCCTGAATTAATGCCTGTTTGAACGACAACAGATCTTTCAGAAAATCATCCAAACTTGATTTTAAAATTGGCAGTGATGGAGCCCCCACCCCAACCCTTGATCAACTGTCCCAGTGGTTAATTACCCGCACTGTTAAAAATATGTGCCTTATTTACAGTCTGAATTTGTCTAGCTTCAACGTCTAGCCACTGGGTTGTGTTAGACGTTTGTCTGCTATTTTGAAGAGCCCCCTACATCAAATTTCTGTTTCCCATGTAGGTACCTATAGACTGTGATCAAATCACCCCTTCACCTACTTTTTGCTAAACGGAACAGGTTTGTTTCTCACTATAAGGCGGGTTTTCCAATCTGTTAATCATTCTCGTGTCTCTTCTTTGCACCCTTTCCAAGTTATCAACAGCCTTCCTGAATGGTGGGCACCAGACCTGGACGCAGGATTCCAGCAGGGGTCGCACCAGTGCCAAATACAGAGGTCAAATCACTTTTCTGCGCCTACTCACTATTCTCTGTTTATGCAGCAAGTGATTACAGGAGCCCTTTCAGCCAGGGCATCACGCTGGGAGCTCATGTTCAGCATGATCCCCATGTTTTTTTCAGAGTCACAGCTTCCGAGGATAGATCCCCCATCCTGTAAGGACGGCCTTCCTTCTTTTTTTCCTCCATCTGTGACTTTACACATGGCCATATTAAAACACATACTGTTTCCTTGCTCCCAGTTTGCCAACCTAAACCAGATCTCTCTATATCACTGACCCGACCTATTCGTTAGTTACCACACCCGCAATATTTATATCATCTGCAAACGTTATCAGCGATGGTTTTATGTTTTCTTCCAGGTCATGGATAAAAATGTTAAATAGTGCAGGGACAAGCACCAACCCCACTAGAAACACACCCAATCGATGATGGTTCCCTGTTTACCGTTACACATTGAGACCTATCCGTTAGGCAGTTTTTAAGCCAATTAATGTATGGCAGGTTGATTTTGTATCATTCTAGTTTCTTAATCAAAATGTCCTGTGATACCAAGTCAAACGCCTTCCAGAGTCTAAGTCTATTACATCAACACTGTTACTTTTATCAACCAAACTGGTAATCTCATCAAAAAGACATCAGGTTAGTTTGACAGGATCTATTTTCCATAAACCCATATTGACTGACATTAATTACATTACCCTCCTTTAACTCTTTATTAATGAAGTCCATATGAGCCCTTCTGTTGTTTCGGCTGGAATTGATGTCAGGCTGACAGGCCTATAATTATCTGGGTTGTCCTGTTCACCCTTTTTAAATACTGGCACAACATTAGCTTTCTTTCAGTCCCCTGGAAATTCCCCAGCGTTTCAAGACTTGTTGAAAATCAGCATTAACGGACCAGCAAGCTCCTTGGCCAGCTCTTTTAAAACTCTTGGATGTAAGTTATTTGGACCAGCTGATTTAAAAATATCTAACTTCAATAGCTGCTGTTCAAACTCTTCCTGGGTTACTGTTAGAATGGAAAGAATTTCATCATCATCATCATGTGGTATGGTAAGAACGGCCATACTGGATCCGACCAAAGGTCCATCTAGCCCAGTATCCTGTCTTCTGACAGTGGCCAATGTCAGGTGCCCCAAAGGGAATGAACAGAACAGGGAATCATCAAGTGATCTTTTCCCTGTCGCTCATTCCCAGCTTCTGGCAAATAGAGGCTTGGGACACCATCCCTGCCCATCCCGGTTTATAGCCATTGATGGACCTGTCCTCCATGAATTTATCTAGTTCTTTTTAACTCTGTTATAGACTTGGCCTCACAACAGCCTCTGGAAAAGAGTTCCACAGGTTGACTGTGTGTTGTGTGAAGAAATACTTCCTTTTGTTTGTCTTAAACCTGCTGCCTATTAATTTCATTGGGTGACTCCTAGTTCTTGTGTTATGAGAAGGAGTAAATAACACTTCCTTATTTACTTTCTTCACACCAGTCATGATTTTATACACCTCTATCATATCCCCCCTTACTCATCTCTTTTCCAAGCTGAAAAGTCCCAGTCTTATTAATCTCTCCTCATACAGAAGCCGTTCTGTACCCCTCATCATTTTTGTTGCCCTTTTCTGAACTTTTTCCAATTCCAATATATCTTTTTTGAGATGGGGCGACCACATCTGCACACAGTATTCAAGGTGTGGGCGTACCATGGATTGATATAGAGTGTGACGTTATTGATATAATCTGGGACCATATAGATCATTGTTGCA